TCTACCTCGCTGTGTGTTTCCTGGACGGGGCCGCGTGTGGAGCTGGTTCACAGTTGCCTTTTGTATCTCTGCTTCTGTCTCCTTGGACCCCAGTCGGCCTCAGCAGATGGCCGCTCACACTGAGCCTGGTTCTGCTGGAGGTTTCTTGTTGTTGTTAAAAGGGAGTTTTTCCTCTCCACTGTTGCTACAAGCATGCTTAGTGTGAGGGATTGCCTTTGAGTCAATGAGTCGATGCAATCAACTGGTTTTCCTTAGATAAAAAACTTTTAATCAATCTGACTGTATGATCTGGTGAACTCTAAAGTGTCTTGAGATGACATGTGTTGTGAATTGGCGCTATAGAAATAAACTGAATAGAATTAAGCTAATGGCCGATAGGTCAGTTTATGTCTGCTTATTGTGCCTGGTGGTCAAATCCTATTTGGGCTCTACACGCTATCATGATGAATGCTTTGTGAATTAAACTTGTTTAATTGTGATTCTCATATAATGTGACTATTCCTGTTTAGGGTGACCCATCCTCTGCCTCAGAGATCTGAAATTTAGTATTTAGACAAAAGCCTTTTCCTGGGTGGCTCAGATGGTCCCATGGGGGGGTGGGCAAACTTTTCTGTCTTTGTTCTGTGGTTTGTAGGTGATTTCCTCTGTGCCTTGGCCAAAGTTCAGTTAGGATGTCAACAGGTTATGGAGAGATTCTTTAATGTTGTTGGAGATGAATGAAGCACTAAGGCTGTTTTGAAGGATATTTTGATTAAGCTAGAAGGGTAAGAACTAAAATGATTAAAATGAGAGTTTAGGAATAGCTGGCATGCTGTTGAACTTCCTTCACCTACACACTTGATCATGGAGCTGGTTGTTTCTTGAGGTAATGATGACGATAGTTGGGTTGAAGCATCATTGTCAACATTTCCTATTGGTGTGGGTTTGTCTTTAGATGATGTGTCTATCGGGGATTTACCTTTCTTTCCCTTTATAGCCGTCTTCTAATAGGCACTTCCTGACATCTGAGGTGTGTTCAATCCACATTTGCAAATGGACCACAAATGTGATTAATAAACATTGTAATCTTTCATAACTCAGAGATTTAAAAGCAGTTCTGTTACTTAAAGTTTAAAATTTAAGCTTCAAGAAGAAAAAAACTCATTAATTAGGCAATTTCTAAATAATTATTACTGTTTTTCTATCAAGTTGCAATATTTTACACAACAGTTGAAGTTTCTAAATTAAAATGAATATTCATATTAACTGGTTCAATAAGTACATATGTAATTTTTAACAAACTAAACTAAAGCAATTCTGAAATAATAGAAGGTGGTGGCTTCTAGGAAACTAAACATTTTCACTAAACCTGCAGGTAGAGAACCAATTCAACTTTTCTAGATTTAACAAAAGAACCTTTTTTGTTTTGAAACTTGTCATTTAGTTTTATACTGAGAAATATTGAGAGATTTTCTGTCTTGCTTCCTGATTTAAAGACGTTGTTTGTGAGAAAGAAAGAGCTTTAACTGGCATGCCGTCACTTATGAAAATGGGTCAGGGTTAAAAAGGTGAGAAGTATTTACTTTCTGTTTGCATCACTCCAATAAGCACCTTCCTATTTGTCAGATCAACCTGTTCCCAACTTCATGTCTCACCAATTTGCTCCTTTTTGTTTTCTCTCTGTTTACATCTTCATGTTTCACAGATTGTTGCATCATCTTTATGATTCATGCTTCATAAGTCTAGTCTTCCTAGATGATGTCCAACAGCTTAATATTAGCTATAAGCCCAGATAATTAATGCTTTTTAAAGCAATGAAATTAGAAGTTTTATATGCCATCATTGCATGAGCAAAATGACACAAACAGAGAAATTTATTTTACAGTAATTTTAAGTAAGGCAGTTTCTCAATTCATTAGAACACGAGAACGGACTCGTGTCCTCGACAAGTATGTTTTTGAGAAGTACGTGTGGACTTTTGGAGAACAGGAGCACGCAGCATAAATCTGGGTCAATTGGAACAGAAGCGTACTGATGACATTATCACACGCTCGGCTCGTCTGGAGCTGCATTTCACCTCCTGTTATTAATAGTCTCTAGATATTAATAAATTATAACTTTTTTTATTTAGTGTGGGAATAATGATGAACATAGTCAGATAAAAACAAATCAAATATTTTGCTAAATATAAAACCAAAAATTGCCATCAGAGCCAGCGGTCCTTTACACACGGCTACATAGGGCTGCTGCAGACGGGGCAACGTTAGCCCCGGCTGCTGCAGACGGGGTAACGTTTGCCCTTGGTGTGGGT